GCTTTAAAAACCCCACCAAATGAAGAATTGAGGCATGGATTATTTCATGGAAACTTGAAGCAACAAGGAGTTTAAAATCGGCAGCTCATCCATCATTTAAGGAGGCCAATTTCACAATTACCTCGTACTTATGCCTCTTTCTTGCACAGCTATTTTGAAACAATATTTAAATCCAATTTCTTTAATGAATTTTGCTTTACCTTTCGTCAACCGAAACGAACAAGAATCAAATCTTAATTGTTTCATATATTTATTATCCCAGTGTTTTATTCGATATTCATGTGGATTGAGAGGGATGCCGGTGAAATTCTTCGATTCACTGAATTGATAGCTACCTCATACTTATGCCTCTCTCTCGCAAAGCTATTTTGAAACAATATTTAAGAATATATATATATATATATATATATATATATATATATATATATATATATATATAACAAGTTAAAAGGCCTCGAGCCAACAGTGACGCCGCGCCAGAAGGATCCAAAAGGATTCACAGTCCAAACCTCGATAAATGGTAGGAGAAGTAGTGTGGCACACGAGGACGGACAACTTCGAGCGAAGGAAGACATATACTCAATAAAAAGTCTAAAAAGTTTAATAAAAAACGTTTCGGTCCGAGACCTTCATCAGTTGTAATACAACTGATTGTAATACAGTAATACAGATTGCATTACAACTGATGAAGGTCTCGGACCGAAACGTTTTTTATTAAACTTTTTAGACTTTTTATTGAGTATATGTCTTCCTTCGCTCGAAGTTGTCCGTCCTCGTGTGCCACACTACTTCTCCTACCATTTATCGAGGTTTGGACTGTGAATCCTTTTGGATCCTTCTGGCGCGGCGTCACTGTTGGCTCGAGGCCTTTTAACTTGTTATATATATATATATATATTTACCTCTGAGGGTTAATGATATTACTAGGCATCAAAATTTTATTTGAAACAAGCATGAAAAATTAACCAAGGGTTTCAATCATAGATTTTAGAAATTTTTCTTGTGTTCCCTAAGGTATACATCTATAAATTCGGAGTTTATCCAAAAAAATTCTTTGCTATCAAGAATTGTGCATTTTTGGGTGCTTTCGCTGCTTTTCAAATACATTTAAATGCTCCAATGTTATATTGGTATGTTTGTATGCAACTCGCCGGGAATTCGACCGCAACTAATCCGTTTGCACTTGGAAATCTCTTGGTTTCTGACTTTTTACGAAGTAGGCTGACGTAAATCGGGTGCGTGACAGGACGGAAAACGCGTGCACTGTAAGTACCTCTCGTTGTGCCATTTAAAACCTTAGAAAACTTTTCTAAGGCTTAGTGTGGGGCAACAGGGGATACTTACACTGCACGCATTTTCCGTCCTGTCATGTTTTTCTTTTACTTTTTTTAAAATAGTTTGACAAGATTATGAGCTCATTTGGAGCAGCGGCGTTTTTCAACTTTTGACCTTGCATTTTCTTCATTTCTCTTTTCTCATCAGCTAACGTTTCGTGTTTCTGCAATTCCCCGTCGTGCCCGCAGGCTTTGTGTCAATCAAGTCAGCAGTGTTTTAGCGGACTATTAAGGAGAGTGAAGGCTGATGGGAACGTTTCCACGAGTGTTTCGTACGGCTGTATTGAGACGCTAAGTCCCAGTCTCTCTTGTTTAAACTCGTCGCTTTTGATATGCTGTGATAAGGACCTGTGTAACATGCCAAACATGTTGAGAAGTAAGTGTTAACAGTACGTAAGCTGTAAGGCCCTAACTTCCTCTTGTTTGAGATTTTGTGTTTATATGTTTCAAGTTACTTTACACATCATTACGTCAAACGAATGCCCGTGAAATAGCATGCAACTAACAACATATTCACAATAAGAAAAACATCCACACTGTCGCCCTTATACAAAGTACATTCGGAGTCACGGAAGTCACGACGGGAAACTAGCAAACAGCGAACCTAGCTAACAAAAGCTGCAGTGAAAAATTTCATTTTTCAAGCTGTTCAATAAAAATCATAGAAAATAACTTACTAACAGAGTCCCAACTCTAAAACTGTATAGTGTTATGAGCGTGAAGGCTACGTTAAACAACGCGCGTCAGTCATGTGTGCGTTACAGAGGCGTAGCCAGCCTACAGATATAGTCCTGTGGGCCCAGTCCCTACAGACTCTTGGGTATATTTTTACTACAGTTAGAAAAGCTGGTTACGCACCTGTGTTAGATAGTCTATTGTTATGAAGTTTATCTCCTGATATTTTTTGATGGCACTGGCCAGCCTTCCTGATTGCTTTGATGTTGTTTTAGCGACATACAAGAAAAATATTGCTTGGGTACTTGAAGGGTACATTTTGAAATTTTCTTTGTTTCTCTTGTGATTCCCAGAAATAACCAAAACTCTTCAAAACAGAGCCCAGGTGGACACCAAGGAGCATGCGTTTAACGATGATCAAGAAGACGTAGAGCCTGTCTCCAACAAATGTACGGAATCAACGCCTGCGATGCAAGTGGCCAGTGTAGTCGCGCCAAGTGTGTTAATTCTGACTGTAATTCTCTTATCTCTGGGGATTTTTTACAAAATAGCGCGCTATCAGAAGATCCGAATCAGTCAATTAAAGAGAGGCTTTAAACACAAGGCGTCAAGAGAAGGATTGATAAAAAAAGTACAAGAATTAAAAGGATGTGGTTTGTTAGTGAGGCAGAACGTTCCGGAAGTCTTTCAGACGACAGCTGTTATTAGCAGGAGCTGTTCTGAAAGTGATTATCGTGTATTGCTGTCCAGTCCCCACAACGTGTAAAGATATCACAAGGGCCTGGAACAGACTTTTCAATTTGTTTATTTAAATTTAAAGAAATCGTCGTTTACGCCTTTTACCGCAAAGTGTAATTTATTCCCTCTGAACTGATAGTCCAAATCAGGTTCATTTGGCCATTTTAAAAATTTTGAGGTTTATCAACTAAATGACTTTTATTACATCTTTGGACTTTGTATGACCTTGTCGATCAGAAAAAAAAAGTGGCCACGATGCGAAGCAGATGGCAGAAACGAATGGGAAATATGAGGATTCAATGGCAAGTTTCAAATTTCAAAAGATTTACATGCTGGAGGGAAAGCAAACATTTTTACTCAGTGGTACGTGAAGAGTTGGCTCCAAGAAACTGTCATTTAAAAGGTTTGAGATTCCGTCTCTCTGGCAATATTTAGCAATTCAGGCGCCAGCCACGGAAGGAGAGTTCGTGGGTCAGACTAATATCCTAGATAACAAAACACACCAAAAGAGTGAAATACTGTTTATTAATTATAAAAAAACTTGAATATTACACAAATGCAACTGGGATAAATTCAGTTACGTCAACATGGACTTCACCGATATTTCGCCAAGAGATTCAATCTGTCTCTAGTTAACAGTTTATCACGAGAATCTAAAGTTTCGATCTAACGTGAAAAATATTTGAATGGTAAAAAAGTGGTCAATTAATTAATAATAGATTCCATTTGAAAATTTTATAAGGGAAAATTGCGGACAAAAGTACCGTATGCAACGTTTTTAAAACGTTTGAAACGTTTTTCTACCGAATAAGTTATGATATTTATTAAAAGATAAATCGTGGAACGAGACTGTACTTCACAGTTTGAATAGATAACTTTAATATTCTGCAATTGTTTGGAAGGAATTAAAAACAGAAGTTAATTAATAATTGCTCTAGTGATGATAAGACGTACTGTCCGTCAGTATTCAAATAATGTCATTTGACTCTTCGTTTTTAAGTTTATTGCTTGATAGCCCCTGGAGAGGTATAAGTTTTTTTCATTACCTTAAGAAGCTATTTGTGTACTGCCCCCATTTTAATACGCAAGACCCCAAGAGAGAGATTATACATTAAGAAACAAAAAGGAACTAGGGTCCTTATATCTGATTGGTTAACAAACGTAAATTAATATATTCTAAAGTTTATATCGGTTGCGAAAGGTGAATTATGTAAACTTATCAACAACTTGCACAATGGGTTTCTCCGTGATCGAAAATTTCGACGAATCTTCGATTTCGTCCGCTTGCGACATAGTCACAGGTGAATCGTTAATGTTTCTAATTATTTTTACACTTATGAGTTCAAGCTTGCCTTACCGTGTACTGGGGGAATATTTATTAATGTTACGAGTTCACAGTAGATTAAAAAGTGTGGGAAATTGCTTCGCCTACGCGATAAAAGTTCGTTCAATGCGCGAATTACTATTATTTCAAATCAGTTTTCAATTCAAAGGTAGTAGCAATCACAAGACAAATTTGTAAGCCGATTACCGCGTTTGGAATATTAATGTTTTAATGTTTTTTTCTTTACGGAATCATTTATAAAGTGCAGGCGTCATGACAGGAGAACTTTATGAATATGTTTTGTATCTGAAAACTTTGAGGTAAACCCAAATTAATGTTTGAAGCCAGAAAACTACAGCGAATCTTAAACTGAGAAAAAAACAGGTAATATTTCTTTTATTTGTGAATTCAATTTGGTTGAATTAGTCGATCTTTGTCGACTGTACGGCATATCTTCCGAAGAGGATAAAAAATTTGAACATGTTTGTTTAAGAATCGAAATTAATCGTTCTATGTTTAGCATCTGAAACCACGATGGTTCTCTTCATCAAATGGAAGGTAAAAGATATGTGTTCACCCGGCTTTCATTGCAGCATTGGAAACAGCATTCGTTTCATTTTTTGACAAGAATTTTTAATGAGCGTCACATGACAAAGTGCATCTCCTTCGAGTGTTGAGTCTTCACTTTCCCTTCATTTACACCTTAAAAAAACATCTGGAACACCGAACAATGAATACAATATGGAGATGTCAAATTGGCGACACTGAAAGGGAGCTGACGAGAACAGCTCTTTCGGCCTGAATTTAAACAACCACTTATTTACGTAGCTGATAAGATTATAACACAATTCAAAATGGGTTAACTAGCGTTATCAATGCTTAATGCAACATCACGAAGAAAGCTGGTGGCCAAATAGATCCAAGGCGGATAAAAATTTTGATATTCGTAAAGACGGACTTTACAATTACTTGCGATAAGATATGCATTAAGTAATTTAAAAAAACCATTGTCTCACTTTCAAATTTTTGACAGAATTTTTTCCTTCAAAGCTTTTTAAGCAGTAAATCAAGTAAGTCGATGAATGTTTTCTTAAACGATGCTTAGTAGTAACAAACTCGAACTTGAGCGGAAAACTTTGTTTACCACGACTGGAAGATCCATCAATGAAATTCCTTTTTAAAATCTAAAATTGAGGCATAGAATTCAAACCCGCTTATAGGAAATCCGATAAATGTGTCTGATAGAGAACTTAAGAACTTTTGTTCGCAATCATTTCAAAGTGACTTAAAGACAAGTGGCCTGATGTAAATCGGCTGGTTTTGAATTTCTTCTAGAACCCTACATAATGAAATATTCAGGCAGAAATTAATCAATGCAAATTCATTTTATTTACGTTATCATATAGGGTGGCTGGAACTTTCGAACCTTTATTGTTATAGATATTGTTTCGATTGTTTGAAATACTCTGCTTACCGCTTAAAATAAGGAAATTGAAACTATATAGACACATTACGGGCAAAAATATATCGTATTGATCGATAGTGCGTCAGGGATTGGAAAGTGTTTGAGTTTTTCATGTCTGATAATAGAATCTTTTGTTCCCTGGCACTCGTGTTGAATTGAAGTATCCACTTAATGACGTCACTGAAGGCCACGCTTAACGAAGCAATATTTAATTGTCCCATACCCTCGTCAAGGTCATTCCTAATAAGGGCCTCGCGCAGCTCTGAATGCTGATGCAAACATCTGGCTTTTGTTGTTCGTAAAGTCCATTTGCCCCTCAAGACATAAACTCAGTCTATAAGGATTTTTAATCAATCCTAAATACCCTGAGATTGGTTTTTCGTATCCCAAAAGACAAGGCCTCCACCTACGGTACGTTTCAATTTTGCTTTCTGTACTATTGGTAGGAAATAAATTGCAGATTTTCTCAATTTTAAATCGAGATGGGCTTTATGTCATGAAAATCTCAGATCCTCAATGAAATGATGATAGACTCCAGACATAAAGGCTTGAAATACTAACTTTTATTCCATGAAACAAACATAAGGGTCTAACTATTGCTACAAGGACAAATAAAATTGAACATTTCTATAAATATTATTATGACGTTTGCAAATTCGTGAAATTATACAATAGTGAGGTAAAATATCTGTATTGCATCAAACATTTCAGCGTATTTTCCCGTAGTGGCTAAATAAATGTCTTGTCATTTTATCGTATTTTTGCTTTCAAACCAAGATTTTAATAAGAAATCGAAAGGAACAAAACACACAGTGCTCGTCGCTTAACGAATCTTTGGCTGATATTTACATTTGCTTTTGTTTGAGAACTGTCTGTCGCGCTAAAAACTAAGGTTCACCACATCTTAAAATGTTCCTTTCTCTTGAAATGGTACCGCTTAAAAAATTTGATATTTGAACCATATCTAAAAGTTTCATCACGACAGCAGACTTCAATTCTACTATTTGGGGCCTCATTTAACTGACGATAACCTGCAATAACTGGCCGCTTTTATTTCACCTAACGTCCATGAGCGAAACGAACATGGTGTCAATGATATTGAATGCAAAATTTTTCAGACTCTATTTAAGACAAATAGAAATTGTTAAATTTTCGACTTTGTAAAGCTTTTTACTGAAATAGCCGCCGATCTATGAAACTTTTTTATCTCCCCCTTTAACTGTTAGACGAATATATCCCTTTAAGGTAATAAAAAAAAAAAGCTAGGCAGATGTTATCACCCGTTATTGCAACAAACTCGGGAACATATTTAAAAAAATCAGTTTGTATCGAAAAAAAAATTATAACGCTAATGGCTTACAACAAAGAGAACGTTAAGATCTTGAAGTAATTTTCGATTCCTTTTATTACGTTTGTGTTTATAGATTTCAAATCAATTTGAATCTCCTTGAGGAACCCACTAACCAGAATCATAAACTGAACTGCGATTACACGTGAAAGAAGTCTGGATCCCGGAACGTTGATCAAGATCTTATCATTCGTGCTGGCATTCGGATTGTTCTCTGTTGCTATGATAATAGCAGTGGCTTTTCACCTCCTGTGCTTTGAAGAAAGAAAGCCGACTGTGAAGGCTGTTTTACAAAGACAAAACAGACTTAAAAACATTGACTATACCCTGGTGTGACATTCAAGATATCGATGTTATCTCTTGTGGTGAGAGATTCCATCGAAGCAGATGAATTCTGGCATTTGCTATGTAGGAATTGATGTTAGGTCTCACTTTGTAAAAGAAACAGATAACTTGTAACTTAGTTAAGGGTTGAGAGAAAATGAATTACAGGTTTTTGTAGGAGAAGAGAATTTTCCTTTTGACAACTAAATAATACGTTAAATGTAATTGCGCTCAGAAGTAGAAACCCTTTCACACCCCAGGAGGAGTAATATCTGATGCATTTCTACATGAACTTCATTCAATATATTATCACGCGTACAGGTGAAAAAATAACCTTCGTTAACAGCAACTCGAGGTTTCTTTTGTTTGCTTTTAGAGCAAGCAAATTCTCAGAACTGGAAAAATAAGAAAAGCGTGACAAACTTTAAAGAGTATTTATATCGAAACCTTGGTAGTCACTGGGTTAAACAAGGAAAGGTTAAGATTCCCGTAGAGAGCAGAAATGCTGATCTCCAATATTTTGAATTTATAAATATTCCAACATAAATATTTCATAAGTATGATGCACGATCCTCGCACTAGATAGCGCTATTTAAGCAATAGCGAAAATCAGACCTGAAAAAAATCAGGCCTGTACGGGATTCGAACCACTGACCTCTGCGATATTAGTGCAGCGCTCTTACCAATTGAGCTAACAAGCCAACTGGGAGCAGGCCGTTAAGTTGATTCATAATAAACCCGTGAAAGTGATACATCAGATACAATGAAATATATGAAGTTCATATATTTTGAACTGCGGTATTATATATTTTGAACTGCGGTATCATATATTTTAAACTGCTCCCAGTTGGCTTGTTAGCTCAATTGGTAAGAGCGCTGCACTAGTATCGCAGAGGTCAGTGGTTCGAATCCCGTACAGGCCTGATTTTTTTCAGGTCTGATTTTCGCTATTGCTTAAATAGCGCTATCTACTGCAAGGATCGTACATCATACGTATCTAATACCGCAGTTCAAAATATATGAACTTCGTATATTTCATTGTATCTGATAAATATTTCAAATAAAGCGTTTCCCATATGGTAAAAGTTTAGAGTAATCTTTACTTCGTCATATATCTAATTTTACAATGCAGTTTTTCCAGAGCATTTTTGGTTTGTCACTGACATTATCTACCTCAGCTTGGGTATTTAATTAAACAAGAGGAACTTGTTTTGACTTGAATGTAATCATCGGCGTATTCGCAGTGGCCGTAAAGTTTTTAATCAATGATGGGGTGGACCAGTTAATATACAGCGTTTAGACCCTCAGTACGGGTTAGCAGGAGTTAGAATGATCCGATCCCTTACTACCACTAAAACCTTGGTTGGGCATAATTTTTTTAAGAATTTCTTAGGTTCACTCAGCCATTTAGGGTCGTGGACATACAAGCTAAACAAACAATAACAAACGACCAGACACGCCGCTTGTGTGGGCTCCCTGTGCTATTATCAACAGAAGGCCTACTTCTCCGCTTCACAAGAAAAAGCTTTTATTGATTTCTTAATGAATTCAGCAATTCAGCTCACTGAGGATTCCGGGCCACAGTAATACCAAGCCAAACCTGAATTGTAACTAATGCTCTCAGTTTCCTTGCTTAACACCTGCGTGTGAAGGTAAAATTATTCATGTTGCCCAAGAATGTTAGCTGCAAAATGGTACAACTAATATATTAGACAGGACGTTTTTGATCGCCATATGGTTGAATTGTTGTTTTGGTCGCTGCTGCTATTGCTACTGCTATTGTTGTTGTGTAAACATCATTCTCTACCGTCTTATGTTTCTGTGGGCCTCTTGAAGCGTCAGACTGAACAAGAAGATTTGACGTTTGCGGCTCTACTCCTCCTCTCTGATAATAAAACGGACCTTACATTGAGTGTTCTTCTTTCAAAACATAAAAGATGCGCTGCCACTGCTATCACCATGACAACAGAGAATACGGTGGCTGCCAGGATCAGGGACAAAATCTTAACAGTTGCCTCAGGCTCCAGTGTTCCAAAGATTATCGCGCACTCTGAGGGGACTGAGTTCCAGTTGATCAGAACTTTGTACTGCGTTTAATACAACTAGTTGGCAACCTGGGTAAAATGAGTTAATATGTATGAATTTCATTATATTGAAAGAAGAATAACTGAAGGTGTATGACATTGTGGTTGTGCTGTGAGCGTTTCACGTTGCTAATGATGGCAGTGTAAACTCTGAGAAATAATTTGGATATATCCGACAAAGTTGAAATGGTAAATTGGCCACCGTAACGATTACAAAAGCTGACGTTTCGAGCGTTAGCCCTTCGTCGGAGTGAATAGAGGAATTGTGGGTTGTGTGTGCTTTTAAAGGCAGAAAATGGAGCTACGTTATTGGTGGGAACATGGCAACGAGAAAAACACGAATAAATTAGTGGAATGAAAAGCGTTCGTTGATACCGGTGGGATTTAGACTGCCAGTTTGAAAGATGAGCTTTTGTTGAAAACATATCACGCACGTCGAAGAATTTAGTTTAGCTATCAACGGAGAAAGAGTAGAACTTTTACCGGTTTTCGCTGAGGCCACAAGCAATCGTATCACCAAAAAATGCGATACGTTAAGCGACGAAAGAGCTATTTTTTTAAAATTCTACTTGGAGGAAAGAGAAAAAGGAGCATTATATAAAAAGAAGGGGGCTCTTTGGCGGAGAAAAGGTGCAGAGAAGATATTATCGGGCTCCATCACAACCCCTGGCAAGTCTACAAATGAAGTGCCGTCCGAAGCCTTCGTGCACGGATCGACGCCGGAAGAAGAAACAGAACAAAAAGGACCGAACCAATCAGTTTTCAACGCTTTCAGAAAAAACGGAAAACATCTCTGGTTTTAATACTGTTCTCACTGAGTAGGCTTGAATATTACATTTTTTTCGCATCTCGCTTGATTTTGGTCATCGATGTCTTAAAGTTACTAATTAAGCTTGAGAGCGGCCTCAATAGTCGGTGAATAGGAGTTTGATAAATAGCGGTGTACACTCTGGTCTTTCCCTGTATCTGCTAATATTTATTACTCCGCGAACTCTCCAACTTATACTGGCCAGCTACAAGAACCTTAGAAGGGTTATCATGAGTTCAAAGCACAAGAAAATAATACAAGCTAAAGCGTTTTCAGTTTTCTCTTATCGTAATTGAATCTACTTCGAGGTATTAAGGATTGAGAGGAAAACATTTCAGATAAAAAGCTATATGTAACGAGCAGCCCGTCGCTGGACTTTTTCGATAGTTTCAGTGTCCCTGTTTGTGTGTGGATTCCAGGCAGCGCTTGCATATTCTAGTAGAGGTCGAATAATTGCTTTGTAGGCTCTTTCCTTGACTTCGGGCGTACACGGTTGTAAAGTCGTTTGACCAGTCCGAGAGCCCCATTGGCTTTGTTGGAAGTTTTGTCACAGTGTTCTTTCCAATTTAGCTTGCTCGTTAATCTAACACCCAGATAATCATAGGAAGTTAAATGTTCCAAGACCTGACTATGCATGTAATATGGTAGTATAACAACGGATCGCTTGTTGGTCAAGGAAATATGGTAGCATGTCCTAACATTAAACTCCATCTTCCAAAGACAGGCCCATGAAGTTAGTCTGTCAAGGTCTTGTTGAAGGATGAGATGATCCGCAGGTTATACAACCTGTCGGTACATAATGGTGTCGACAGCAGAGAGTCTAATATTTGACTTGATGTCACCCACGATGTTATTTATGTACATCAAGAACAGCGTGGGGCCTAAGACAGACCTGAGATAACCTTGCACGGCGTAGAGTGTACGCCGTTTACACTGGTACTTTGGGAGCGGTTGCTTACCCTTTATCCATAATAAGGTTCGGCCTTGAATACCGTAGTGACTTAACTTATGTAAGAGCTTTGGATGTGATACTTTGTCGAAAGCCTTGCTGAGATCGAGTTGGATAACATCAGCTTGACCCTTAATGTTGAGAATGGAGGCCCACTCGTGAATGGCTGAGACCAGTTGCGTTTCACAAGACAGTCTGGACCTGAAGCCATGTTGGTGTTTACAAAGGATGTTATTTGTGACAGGTGCTTGTGGACGAGGCTAAGTACTATGCACTCCATAATCCTGCAACATAGGCAAGTCAAAGAAATGGGCCTGTAATTTTTTGGATCTTGCTTGCCGCCTTCTTATATACTGGTGTAACCAAGGCCTTTGACCATTCATCAGGTAGCCTACCGAAATCGTAACTTTGTTGAAAAAGAAAGGTAAGTACAGGAGAGAATTCGTTAGCTATTAACTTCAGTATACGAGGTGACAGATTGTCCGGGCCACATGCTTTGTTGGGATTCAAATTGCAAATTTGCTTCTTGACACCATTTACATAAAACGACAGATATGGAATTGGCGGATAATCAGATTGACCAATTTCAGGTATGATACCGTCATCGTCCACGAATACAGATTTAACATGATTGTTTAGGGCTTGCGCTTTATCTTTACTGGAGACATAGAGGTTGTTACTGCTCTGAAGTGTTGGAACTTCTATGGATTCAGATCTGCAAGACTTGACGTAATTCCAAAACCGTTTTGGGTTGGAGTCCAAGCTCCCTCCAATCTCGTTGTTGACATAGTTTGAATGTGATGACCGAAGCATATCCACAACTTTATTGCGCTGTTTTCTGTATGATGCTTTAATCGAGGGGTTGTTCGAGTGGGTGACTAGTGAATGCCATTTATCCCTTTTTCTCATTTGGCGTTTGATAGCCTTGGTCACCCAAGGTAAGGAGGATTTAGCTTTGGTCATCTTCCATGGAATAAAAGTGTCAACAGCTGAAGCCAAAGAAGTTTTAAACATCACCCAGTTTTCATTTACAGAACGGGCATCTGGATTGGAATTGAAGAATTCCTGATTGATACTTGTAGCTGCACCCTTAAAGCCCTCAAGGTTCATGCGGTTGTAAAGATGAACCTTGTGAGGCGGCTTGTTTACACGACATGGTTTAGTGTTGATTGTAAAGATTACTATATCATGGTCGCTCATGCCGGAATGAATCTGCATATTGGTCACCAATGAAGGTGCCGAAGACAAGACCAGGTCAAGAGTCTTACCAGAAGCTGGTCGAGAGGCTTGTGTCACTGAGTGAGTAAGAGAGTAGTCATCTAGGAAGTTTAATAGGTATTCCGCATCCGCTGTTGAAGGTGAAGTATTCAACAGCGTAGGTGGATCGGTGGACCAATTTATGTCACCAACATTAAAATCCACCGAGACCACAACGGACGGGCAGCTACGTCTTGTTCTCTGGTAAAGATTAGCAAGATTGTCAGCGGTGTAATAAATGCGTGATACTGGGGCACTTGGTGGTTTATAGAAAGAGCACAAATGCAGGAGTTTATTTCCATGTAATTTGATTGAGGCCCACACACTATCGTTGCTATCATCAGTACGGAACTCCGGGTGACCTATAGAAGTTAAATTATCTGCAACAGCAACGAAAACACCGCCACCTCTTCCAAATTCTCGTTCCTTACGGTAAATTGTAAAACCTTGGGGGAAGTAGGCACCGGTTGACGTGTCAGGGAATAGTTTAGATTCGCACCCAAAAATGACATCAGGAGCATGATGTTCGACTGTAGCCTTGAAGATTGCTATGCTTTCTGGGCTCAGAATACTATTACAGTTTATTTCCATGCACTTGAGCTT